GGGGAAAAAACAATCTGTTAGACAGCACCTTCCATGCAAACAGGGAGCACAGGATACCTGATAGGGCATGAAGTTTTAATGGAGCACTTCCTCAGTGCCATGAGCATTCTGATCTCGTCAGAGATGAAACAGGAGCTCTGAGCGGTTTGTCTGCTTTACCTGAGTAACGAGCTCACACTCATCAGAGATGAAACAGGAGCTCTGAGCGGTGCTGCTCTGTGCTGTGCGTCTCTGCTTTATCTGAATAATGAGCTCATACTCATCCAAGATGAAACAGCAGCTCTAAGCAGAGTTGCTCGGAGTCATGTGACCCAATGCCTGAATAACAAGCTCACACTCGGAGATGATACAAGAGCTCTGAGCTGCGTTGCTCAGTGCTGCGTGTCCCTGCTTTGTCTGGATAAGAAGAACAGGCCGTAGGTCAACACTTTACAGTGTAGGTGAAAATTAAATAGGCCAGACAGAAAGGCATACCTTTAAATTAGGTGGTAAAAAGATTAAATAAACTGAATATTGTGAGATACTGTAAGAAACACCAATTGTGGCCACGGACAACCTGTTTAAAGAGCCTTTGAATTCTGCTTCATGAATATTTAGTTCTATATGCCGCAATTCATGGGCAGGATATTACAGTGTCACTGTCTCCTCTTACCTCTCCCAGTTTGTCCAGTTTAACGTACGTCTCCAGCTTCCCAAACCCAATCTCGGACTGCAAAGACAAGAGCAGCAGGAAGTTAGCAGTCTGCACTGCCAGACACCTTTACCCTGGCACCTGCCACAGGCCCCGTCAGGTACAACATTCCACAACAGAGGTGACTGCGGTGCAGAAGGGCACACAGCACAATAACAGCAATCACAATGACGGTCACGCCTACAGTAATGTTAGTACAGGGAGGGCAGTCCAAGTGCCACACGGAAAACAAATAGGAAAACCAAACAGAGCAGAAGCTCCACGGAAACCTGTCCTTCTCAAATCCCGGTGGAGTGCTTGACCTTAGGCTGCAGGACAAGTCAGTTTAACTGGGACACTTAAAGACGGGATGGAAGGGGTCTGCTGTTCTAAGAATTCGGAAGGGTTCGGGTCATGGGAATGACCACGTCAGGCCCTGGCACAGCGAGCTCACAAGCCAGGGCTGAAGTCTGCTTCTTCTGCGTGCTGGGAGTTCTGGCCCCACGCACGCCACACTCCCTGTCAAAGCTGAGGGCTGACACATCCTCTCCAGCGCTCTCACGCTCACTGCGGCACTGCGGAGTCCGGGCGGGGGGGGTTGGGGGCTGCCTGAGACGAGACCGCCCAGAGCGAACCCCCCCCTCCTTCATCAGCCAGCCTCGGTGGCGCTGGGCAGCGGCTGAGATCACGCCACCGCCCCGGCTGTTTCTGGGCCACCGCTCAAGCAGAAGGAACGAGCAGCGCATGGGTTAGAGCACCCCGGGGCCCCACGTGCTCCAACCCATCCGCGGCCCCTCTCTGCTCCGAGCGCACACGCCGGCCGCGCTGCTCTCGTCCAGTCTCTGCCCACCCTCCGACTCCTCCCGATCGGGCTCGGCCCCCCCGCCGCGCCCTGGGGCGACACGGAACCTCTCCAGCAAAAATACAGCCGCCTGATCTTTAAACGGGCGGCGATGCCGCCAGCTGGACACCGGGGGGCGCCAGCGCTGCCGGCCGGGGGTTCGGGCAGGAAACACACCGAGCGTGCCAGGCCAGCAGCAGAGTGACCCTCTGTGCCGGAGAACGGGCAACAGGGCGACGTGCCACACGCCCCGAATCCCCCGCCAGGAGAGGTCCTGTAGAACCTAACATCCCAACCGAGCTCCGGAACAGGGCAGGCACTGAGCTCGGAGACGGGAGCGGCCATTTTATTAGGGACACCTCCTCGCTTTTGGATCGAGCTGCCTTCCTCTGCTTCCTGAGGCCGTTCCAGGGTGAACGATTTCGTTTCCGATTTAAAGTTCCGGGAACAGGCTCCACCTCTCCCGTTCTGCGACGCGGCTCGTGCCAGTTCCTGGGCAGGGGAGTGAAGTTCCTTCAAGGGGCGGCGATCAACGAGCTGATCAATAATTCACCGTTAACACCCCCCTCTCCCTTCCGTGACAAGTAGGGACAGCTGGTGCAGAACGGTGAGGGAGGGGGGGGCTTTCAGCTCCCGAGAAGCATGGCCAAGAGGGCATCAGGCCAGCTGGGCACCACGAGGGACAGATGGAGAGGAGAAGACGCTGCAGGCACCTGACAGGACGGGAGACCAGCAGAGCCCTGAGTCAGGACCCCAGCTCTCTTAACATTTACCAGCTGAACACACATACGCCACACACGTTGCCACATTCTGTACGCGCGGCTCTCGGCTCGGTATGTGTCCACTGGCACGATGGCACGCCAGAATCGCCGACTGACCGCGGTGCACTCCGCCAGCCCTGGGGTTTCAGTACCTGCGGTCAGTGTCCATCTGTCCTTGTCGACTCTTTCTGTGCTCTCCCCGAAACTCTTGGCCAAGAGCAGCTGCCTTCTTAAAGGGGTTTTTTCCTTGCTTTACAAACCAACTCCCAAAAGAAGACGGCTAACGTTGGAAATGCGTTCTTACAGCCCAGAGGGTCAGCCCCTGCGGTACTGGTGCCACCGGCGGGGGGACTCACCAGCGAGGCGCGCCGGAGCCTGCGGCTCAGGGGCTTGTCAAAGGGCGGGCTGTTCATGGCGAACTTCTCCAGATACCCCTCTGGCAACCGGATGTCCGCAGGGAGAGACAGGCGCTTGTTAATGTCCTGGGGGAGAGGGAGAGAGGGAGAGAGAGACAGGCGCTCGTTAATGTCCTGGGGGAGAGAGAGAGAGAGACAGGCGCTCGTTAATGCCCTGGGAGAGGGAGAGAGAGAGAGACAGGCGCTCGTTAATGTCCTGGGGGAGAGAGAGAGAGACAGGCGCTCGTTAATGTCCTGGGACAGAGAGAGAGACAGGCGCTCGTTAATGTCCTGGGACAGAGAGAGAGGGTGAGAGAGAGAGAGAGACAGGCGCTCGTTAATGTCCCGGGACAGAGAGAGAGACAGGCGCTCGTTAATGTCCCGGGACAGAGAGAAGGGAGGGAGTCGGCTCTCCGCCGCGGTGCGTACCTCTGTGGAGATCCGGCGGTGGCTGCTGTTCCTCATGCGGACCCGGACCGGGCTCTGGACCTCGTCCGAGGAGGTGCCGGACGCCTGGTCGCTCTCCCCGTCCGACCCCATCTTCACATTCTCGTGGACGATGCCTGGGGGGGAGACAGAGGGGGCGTCATCACGGCCGCTCCGGGCCCTGTCTCGCCCCCCTCCCCCCCGGCCTCCCTCCTCATTCCCGGCTTTAATAATCGAACCCTCAGCTGGCTCCATCAGTCCTTTCTGAATTGCGATTTGCCACCCCGTCTCCCAGCACCCGCTTCCACAACTGGGGAAGGAGTCGCCCCCTCACGACGAGCCGGATCCACACCGGGTCTGGGGGTGCTGCCGGTTGGACCCCGCGGCCCGGCCGCACCGCGCAGGGCGAACAGCACCTCCTCCGGTCCACCGCCAGCTCGGGCACCGCGCATTAAACACACGAGGAGTGGCTGGAAATCTCTCTCGTCCTCGGGATCTGGCCGTCTGCAGACAGATTGGACTCTACACACGCACTGGCTGGAGATGGGACGTTTGTAGCCGCAGACGAGCTTCTTATGACATCAGTAAAACAATCCCCGCCAATACCTACCAGAAGCACTATTTTTACGATCGCTGCGAGGCACATTCTCACGCACAAGCAGCTGGCAGCTTTGTGTCATCGAAAATCAGCGTGCATGTATATATATAGAGATTCACACTTGGAGGAACTAACAAGCTCTGGCCCCGTTCTCTTAATTAAGCTCAGGAGGAGGAGGGCACTGGCAGGAGCTCTGCACAGTTAGAACTGGGATCCACGGTAATGACAAATCGCTGCAGAGGACACAGGCTCATCTCGCCTCTTCCACTGTGAGGCAAACAGCTTCTTCCACATAATCAAGCATCCTTCCCTCTCACAGTGGCCTCGGGGGACAGACCAACATTCGCTGCTGCTGCTGCAGGGGGCTCAGTCTCCCACAGCAGACAAGACAGGCAGGGCGGCTGTCCTTCAGATCACAGCTGGGACTCTGACAAGGGAGGCACAGGCCGTATACACGTGCAGGCAGGAAAAAGGGAAGCTCATCATGCACAGAGCCTGCCTCATGTCAGGAGTGCTGCTGTTAATACCTCACACAGCTGCGCAGACACCACCGGCACAGAAAGAACCCGGACAGAGTTCTGACCCACAATCAACCCGGACGGGGTCCTCAACCACAAATGTCACAGGCAGGCAGGGGACGGGAACTGGACCTCCGCAGGTTTTGCACACTCAATACAAGAAGTTGAAATCCAGAAGGTGACTGACAAAGACAAGGCAGACTACATCAGGACCAACGGGAAGCAAAAGCGAGAGGGGACAAGGGGAAACGACGGGCAGGTCCTTTTGCAAAAGCAGATTCCTTGATCGTTTCACAGTAAGACACAAGTCCGCACATCAGTAACACGAGCATAACGGGGCAAAACGGCTTGGGCTCTCATTCCTGCCTCTCGACGCTATCCCAGCTCTCCCTGCCGCGGCCCAATCGCCGCGGGGTTCCGGGACCACCAGTGACAGCAGCGAATACGAGATGCCCTGCCTCCACCTCTCTTAGCGCACAGACCCAGGCTCCTTCGCTACGCCTTCGGGCGCACCCCGCTGTCAGAGGGGCACAGGGGCTCAGCTGGCCGAGATCGGACCCCTCGGGGGCTATGCCAGCGATACCTGATGGCCCTGAACGGAGAGAGAAATGGCCGACAGCAACTGCCTGTGCACCCCCCCTCTGCTGGCTGCGCCAACCCCGACTGTGACAGGGCCCCCGAGACCCGTCGCCCGACCGCAGCCGGGCTGGCAGAGCAGAAACACGGCCAACGGCACGACACGCCACAGCACATAACCCACCGCTCCGTCTCCGAAAGAGAGCGGGAGAGGGATTCCCGAGGAATCAGGAACTGCAGGTCCAAATCTTCACCTGGCACTGGCTCCTGGCCTACACGGGTCTGCCACCGGGGGGGGCGCACACGCACACTCACCCCCTCCCCCCGCCGAGCACGGATCTCTCCCCACATGTTTCCAGGCTTTCCCCTCCCCTGCGGGACTCACCGATGCGGTTCCCGATGGGCCGGCACGTCTCCAGGATCTTCAGCATGCGGAAAGGGGAGAGCCTCTGGGGCTCCCGGCTGGGGTCCCCCATCCTCGCCCCTCAAGAGAGGCTCGGGTTCGATTTAGTTATTTATTTCTGAACAGGAAGGAAAAGTTCAAGGTCCCACCTTCTGTCCAAAGCGGGGTTTCCAAGAGAGATTAAACCCCCAATCCCGAGGCGCCTCGGCTTCACCCCGTGCCCAGCAGAGCAAGATCTTCGGAACAAGGATCAAAATCCAGCATCCCTCCAAAACACCAGCGGACGGAAGCCGGTCTCAAAACGAGCTACGCCGACGGGAGCGTCTCTTGACTGGCCGGGTCTGGCCGGGCTGACGGACGCGCAGGTGGGGCAGGCAGGCGCCTGTCCCGCATCCCCAGAGAGCGCGGCTGAACCCGCTGGCTGTCCGGGAAGCAGAGCCCCTTCCGGACCTGGAGGAGGTCCACCAGATCCCACTGCAGCCCCACGGAGCTTATTCTCCCTCTCCTTTCTTCCTCTCCTCTCCTCAGCCCTCTGGCCCTCCC